ACGGTATAATCTCGGCTCACTGCAACCTCCATCTCCCAGGTTCAAGTGATTCTTCTGCCTCAGCCTCCCAAGTAGCTGGGATTACAGGTGCCCACCACCACACCCAGCTAATTTTTGTATTTTTAGTAGAGATGGGGTTTCACCATGTTGGCCAGGCTGATCTTGAACTCGTGACTTCAGGTGATCCGCCTGCCTCGGCCTCCCAAAGTGCTAGGGTTACAGGCGTGAGCCACCGCACCTGGCCCTAGTTACGTTTATTTTGATGTGTGAGTCAAAACCAAAATGAGCACAACAAACCTGTGATTGCATGGATATTATTTCTTAGAATGAAGATGTTAAAAAATGAGTTGATTTAAATATTATGTAAATAGTGTAAGTGAGTCGTGGTAAAGAACATTATGAAGGATGGTAGTTAACTAATTGAAGTTTGGAAAATAGTGATTAAAAGTTGGGAGAGGTGGTATGAGGAAAATTTCTGGGGTTCTGAAAAAGCCTGTATCTTGGTTACACGGATGGATACACATATATACTAACTGAAGTATCTTCTTAGTAACGAGTTTTATGTTGTGCCCCAATTTAAAAACTTCAAGTAGCTTTTGACTAAAGATGGATAAGATGGAAAGAAGAGCAAAATTTGTAGTAGAGGAAAAACATGCAAAGTTGGTTTTCTTTGCTGATCTTATTTGTAGTAGAATAGATACTCAGTTACATTCCTTTTATTTACATTCTCTGCTTTCCAAAAATAATTTTTAAAGGCATGTAGCTAAGTCAATATAAATAAATTGCTTATGAATGTTGGATATTGAATGTTTTGCTTATGAATGTTGCATTTCTTAAGAGAGACATATGTATATACACGTGTGTGAAAGAGGTTTAACCATTCAAATGATAGAATTTTTTCCCTCTTTTTTGACATTTCATTAATCAGTTTTTTTTAAAAAGTGTTTTCTATATATGTGATATGTGAATGGTCAATAGGATGTTAAAGCAATACATTGTTACATGGTCAGAAAATAGTGAAAGTTTAGATATGAGAAAAGGCATTAGGGAAGGTTCAATGTAGAGTTTCAGCTGGCACTTGGAAATATGGAAAGAAATTGGAATCCTGGACAGGTAAAGGAGGAAAATCTTGAACAAAAGATTCTAAATAGGAATTTTTACTGTATTTGACTTTAAGGGAATTTTGTTCATATTGGGCTTAATATCATAAAAATTCTATATAGTTTAAAATAACTAATATATTTGCTGTAGTGGCCATACATTATTTGTAATCTTAAATACAGATATTTCTTTCTATTTTATTTTATTTTATTTTTTATTTTATTTTATTTTTTGAGACAGGGTCTCACTGTATTGCCTAGGCTGGAGTGCAGTGGCACAATCATGGCTTATTGCAGCCTCGACCTCCTGGGCTCAGGTGACTCCCACTTTAGCCTCCTGTGTAGCTGGGACTACAGGCGCATGTCACCCATGTCTGGATAAGTTTTGTACTTTTTGTAGAGACAAGAAGTTTCACCGTATTGCCCAGGCTGGTCTCAAACTCGTGAGCTCAAGCATTCCACCCACCTCGACCTTCCAAAATGCTGGGATTACAGGTGTGATCCACTGTGCCTGGCCAGTATTTTTAACCAAGTTGCATCACAGTGGATAATACAACTGCTACTCTGCAAAACATCTCAAAATGTTTTTGGTTGTATCTTTTTGAATAGCAAATGTTGTATCATTTGACCAGAAATAACTAAGATCTATTAATTTATTAATCAATTTTGATGTATCAAAATCAATTATGTTACATGGTGCCTGTTGTTAATGAACCTTGAGCAGTTTATGTTCAGTTTTTAGTAAAAGTTGGAAGATTTGTATTACCTGAAGGGAAACCAGCGTGTTATCTTCAGTTTTCAAAGCCTCAGTTTTCTTATCTATGGAACAGAAATAATGATGCTTGTGTTTTAACATTTTCGTGAAGATTAAGAATTATGCAAAACAGCTTTGATAATCTGGGAAAATGTTAAATTTGTCCATCAGACTTTTTTTTTTAAGTTTTAATTTTAGAATAATTTTAGGTTTACTAAAAAACTATGAAGAGAGTATAGAAAATTCTCATACACTTCACATCCAGTTTCCCCTATTGTAACATCTTGCATTAGTATGATACATTTGTCATAAGTAGTGAACCAATATTGATACATTATTGACTAAAGGCCATACTTTATTCAGATTTTCTTAATTTTTACCTAATGTCCTTTTTTCTGTTCCAGGATCCCATCCAGAATATCACATTAGATTTGGTTGTTCTGCTTCTCTTGGGTGTGACAGTTCCTCTGGCTTTCCTTGTCTTTGATCACCTTGATAGTTTTCAGCGCTACTGGTCATGTCCCTCAGTTGGGATTTTCTGATGTTTTTCTCACAGCTAAAGTGGAGTCATATGTTTCAGGGAGGAAGACCGTAGAAGGAGAATGCCATTTTCGTCTCATGTCAAAGGAAATACTGTCAACCTGAGTGATAGCGTTGATAGGGCCTTTATCACATGGCTTAGGTATTGTCATTTTTCTCCTCTGTAAAGTTGATCTTTTTTCCCTCCTTTTTATTTTGTACTCTTCGGAAGTCAGTCATCACGCACAGCCCACACTTAAGAAGTGGGAAACTTCAAATATGAAATGCTGTAGGTGAACCTTTTTCAAATATCAAATTACAATGAATTTGTTATTGTATTCTTTTATAAGATCTTGGAGAGCAGGCCGGGCGCAGTGGCTCACGCCTGTAATCCCAGCACTTTGGGAGACCGAGGCAGGTGGATCTCCTGAGGTCGGGAATTCGAGACCAGCCTGACCAATATGGAGAAACCCCTTCTCTACTAAAAATACAAAAAACTTAGCTGGGTGTGGTGACACATGCCTGTAATCCCAGCTACTCAGGAGGCCGAAGCAGGAGAATCACTTGAACCCAGGAGGTGAAGGTTGCGGTGAGCTGAGATGGCACCATTGCACTCCAACCTGGGCAACAAAAGCGAAACTCCGTCTCAAAAAAAAAAAAAAAAAAAAAGAGCAGATATTCTTAGTAAAGGATAATTACTGAGTTATTCAGATAATGGATGTGAGTGGTATTGTTCTTGAAGGGGTTGGATTATAGTTACCACATCCAAAGCATCTGTTCAGCAAGCCAGTATTTTCATAAGAAAAAAGTTGGAAACTTTCCAGATACATGCTCACTTCTCTATCCTGGTATCTGCTACACTTTTACTGCTCTTTTCATGATCCTTTTCAACATTGGTGACATTTCTGCATTTTGCTATTAGCTCACTTCTCTTCCTTCCTGTGTGTACTGTGATTCTTAACCAGGAGAGGGAGGGGGTCATGCCATCTTTTGGGTGGACACATTAGAATCATGGGAGGTAGTGTGGTGTGATGGAAAAGATAGAAAATCAGATAGATTCATTATATGTATGTTTTTACTAAAACCACAAAAAATAAAGTTTGACAAAATCTTGGCTCATGGTAGATGTGCAGAAGAGTAGAGAAGGGAGGGGCAAAATGATTGAGAAATGTAGATTATTTATATAAACCTAAGTGGCTCATACTCTTCTCTTGGTTTTAGCTAGAATTTGTCAGTTATAAAGCCTAAATTTTTATTTGGTGCTGAGAATACTGTAATCACATTTCCAAGTGCCTACTAGAAATCCCATGGATAACTCACACTTAACATGCTTAAAAATGAACTCTGTATCCTTCTCCAAAGGAGTTTGTGCCCCTGTCTTTGCTATCTCAGATGACGGCCCCGATATCCACCTGCTTTTGAAGCCTGAACCCTCATTATTCCTCACAGCAGAACCACAGCCAATTCCTGCTGATTTTTCTTTCTAAACATTGTTTTAGTCTTTGAAATTAAGGTATTATGTACATATAATGTAGTTTATAAAGGACATTGCTCTATCCTTACTACTGTTGGTTTGGTTCAGGCCCTAGTCCTTTCTTTCCTGAAGAGTAGCAGTAAACTCCTAGCTGGGTTTCTTCCTTAGGTGTTTCCTCATCTATGCACTCGCTAGGATGGTCCTCTCAGGACTTACCTGTGACATTTGGAAAGAGCCTGAATCTCCCTGCTTTGTGCCATGCACTGTGGTAGTAGTGAATTGCCATGGACATATCTATTTTACTGCCTGCTACTTCCTTCAGACCAAATCTCTGAGTCAGGACCGTGGAACTGAGATGGGTATAGTGGGAAGCTTTTCTCTGAGTGATACCCTGCTGTGGGTGCTGAGCTTTTGGAGAAGGGGAGCGGTGCAGCAGCCTGAGGCTGTCTTGGCTTGCCTCTTCTTCTGTGGAGCCACCTCCTCATGAGTTGGGGGTGAGGCTTATCAGGGCCCAAGTATTCTCAGTCCTCCATGCATAAGAAAGAACTTCTTTTCCAAGAGTAGGGGCTGGGCAGGAGGGATTCCCCAGGCTCTTGCCTACTGTATCTCAGGACTTAGTTTCAGCACCAGGTAGCTGGGGTAGGATGAGAGGCACTCTTTCTGGGAATAAAGTCCTCCTGCTGGGAGTTGTAGGGAGAGTGATCCTGTATTCTTGGCTGCAGCAGTCTGGAGTGGACCCTCCTTGCTTAGATGGGAGGGCACAGGAAGGGAGCAGTCCTGCTTCAGACACCACAGACTCTTGCCATTCTTACTGAGTTTTCATAGATGTTCTTACCAAATTTTAGTTAAGGTTTGTGAAAATAAATATGTACTTTTTCTTGCCCAAACTCAAGAATAAATGAACATCTTATATGTCGAGGTTAAGCATATTAATGTTAGTCTTCTTTCTACTGGTGTGAAGCAACAGCTAAAGATTGTGGTTTTTCTTAATAATAATAGTTTACTAGTTATGTATTTCCAAAGCTCATCTTTTGATGCGAAAACTCACACTGGAATAACCTTTTTAAATATGGCATTAACTTGATGTAGGTCATTATTAGCTGGGAAGTTCTTTCAATCCCTGAATGCTAATGAAAGTGGTTTGATGTTACAGGAGTACAAGCGCAAGCTAGCCAGAGTTTCCCTGGTGCGCAAAGAACTCAGGTCCCGGATCCAGAACCTGCCAGACTTATCTCGATTGCCCAACGTCACTGGCAGCCACATGCACCTGCCCTTTGCGGGAGACATCTACAGTGAAGATTGATGGACCAGCCTCTTCCCAGGTCCCAGGACTTTGCAAGAGATGGAGACAGGTTAGGTGGATAGTCCTGTAGTGTTATTTTTGTATATTGTTGAGAAAGAAACACTAACAAAAGGAGCAACGAGTAATTTATAAAATTGTTTAAAATGTTGGTTTGTTTACTATTTTATTGGTAAATTAACATGATTTGAACAAAGTGATGATTTGTGTGTATTAATAAGCTCACAAATAGTGATTATTTTCAAAAGATCTTTTTGTAAATTTTTTTTTTTTTGATCTGGGGCCTTGTGAGAAATCCCTTGTTTCTATTTCTTCAGGTATTTTCCATTGTTTTTCTTTATTTTCTTCAGCATCTAATCACTGTATACTATGTAATTCCTAAAGGGGAAGAACTAATTAGGAGTTGATTGAGACTTTATTATGGTATAGTTAGGACTTGACTGTAGAAGGGACTAAATGTTCCAACATAATCTTTACCCTTCTCCCCAAACAAAATATCTATTCTGTGTCTCTACATGCCTTTGATTCCTTAGAGGTCGGTAATTTAACATTCAACATAGAAGTCACTTTGAGGGGCAGATGAAAGTCTAGAAAACTGTTCCTTAATAGCATTGTAAAAGTTCCATTCCAACTGCCAGTGTAGATTTTAAAAATGTTAAATAGTGACTCCCTTGATTAAACTGTTTGTAATTATTTGAGTAGATTAATAATGAAAATACTTTGGAAATAATATAAATTTTGGCATTCTACCAAGAGGACAACTTTGGTTCTGGAACTGGTTTCAGTTTGTCAAATCAGTTCCTTTTAACATAATTGATCCCTTTAACAAAAAGCCATCTATGGGATTAAAAGTCACATGAAATAATGATACTTTTATTATTCCCTTACTCATATAACTTTAAAAAATAGTATTTTTAGCTCTAATAGCTCAAGAACACAATATTCGTTAATGTTCAGTAAAGTAGCCTGAGACATTTTAAATGTTTCCTTAAGGTTTTTGAATGACTGTGTATTTGGCAGTTAAGCAGTGCCACACTACAGGGTAGATATGGTAAATTTTATATTTGTATATTTACAGTTACCAAAACAAATGTACTTTTACCTTTTATTTCTAACCCTGTGTGTTAGAGCAGTTGCATGCTCTCCTGCTTTTAAAAACACGTTGTTAAGCTGTGGATTTGTACTTAATAATGACTTAGGATAAACGTTTATTTTCATTCATTGCTTTACATAGTAGACATTTTTCTTCTCCTTGTAAGTAGATTCAAATTAGGTAGTCAATAAAACATCTTGAAAATCCCACAAGCCAGTTATGTCTCTCTAGTCTGAATGGCTTCATTGTTTCTTTCTCAGTATTAGAAATTGTAGTTAAAATGAATTACATATGAAGAAGGCAGACATTTATTTTTAATAGCCAAGTAGTTCTGCAAATAGTTCTTTTAACAATTTGACCTCTCTCCAAAACAGAGACACATATAAGTAGTGCCCCTCCATGCACTACTAATAATATCATGGCTTATTCCAAAGTTTTTTAGTCAACTTTTGGGACTTGGGGTGCATTTTCTCACAGAAAGAATAGTAGATTCCCTAACACTACCGCTGATAGCTCACCTGGGAACTGAATCCACTTAACCATGAATGTCCTTTACTTGTAACGTGGTTCACAGGTTACTAATCATAGATCTTGACCAACATTTGTAACACCGCTCTAAGTAGAACACAGCATGCAGCAGCCACACTCACACCCTGCGATGTCTGCCTGTGCTGTGTACCTCTGTCCCTAGGTGTAGGAAATTGAAGAAAAAGATTCAGCCGAGTGGGGAGGTGACAATTGCACAATTATGAAACCTGGTTGTACATGTTATGAAAGTATACTAAGTTTTTATTAATGTGAAAGCAAAAACTTGTATGTTAACTTATTTTCAATCTCTTGACCTTATTTATGATCTGCTAATGTGGTGATTTATCCATTCAAAATATATATTTTTTTCCATTTAAAACTAATTTATAAACTATGTACTCCTGGGAAGATTTGAAATCTTTTAGAAGTTTGTTGAAATATTTTCACCATTTCAGACAGACTTCTGACTTAGATACTGATTTTAATGCCAGTATCTGCTCTAAATATTTATGATAAAAATGCATTATTTTTTTAAAAAGCTTGATGAGATTTGTGATAAGTGATAGTACTCAAAAACCTGAATCCCACCCCTCGACCAATCCTCCACAAACTTCAGTTGTTGGTTAACTTATTAACTGAACACAGACAATACAGTCTGATTTAGAAGTCATCTTTTCAGCCGTGTGATAATTAACACGGTAAGCCTTAGCAGCAAACGTTCTTCCTAAAAGGAAGACTTCATTTTCTCAAGAAATGGGATTAGTTGGGGGTATTATAATACCAAATTGTAAATCATGAGCATTTTCTCCACTGTGTACCTGAGGCAAATCATGCATCTTTGAGTGCAGTTTGGTCTGGCCCCTCAAGAGAAAAGCATGGTGCCGTAGGGCTACTATGGTTTGAATGGATACCATCACTCTTTTCTCCACATACAGTGCAGAGAGCTGTCTGGAGTGGCAATCTGAACAGATTCCCGGGTGCTCCTTCTCTCCTTCCATCACTACAGTAAGTAAAAGGACCATAGAGGGGAACCAGGAATCAGAGAATCAGCTGTGCTCAATAGCCAACCTCCCTGTCCAGATGCAGCTATTTTGGTACCTCCTCTCACATGCACTCTGAATCAGGGTTTTTCTATAAGAAATCTTTCAGAATCAGCAAAAGTGAGGATGACCCAGACATCTTGATTTGCAAAATCACAAAACTAAGTTGTCAATTATCACTATAGATGAGCAGCTCATCTTTTTAAAGTATAGTTACTGAACTGATTCTGAGAAATCTTTAGAGAGAAAAAACTCAACAGTACAAATATAACTAATTGGGAAAGTTAGAATGTCCTTTCTGAACTTTTCATTAAAAAAAATTACATTATCTGAAGTAACATAAAGCTACTAAACTGCTTTGTATTCTATTAAGAAATAGCTCCTAAAGATGTAGTCTTGTTTCATAGTTGTTGCACTATATCAAAGCTTAAAATGTAAGCCCAATTCTTCTCTGTATAGAAAGGAGACATTGTGTTACTTAATGAATTATTTATACAGAGCATTTGTTGCCAACTGTTGTTCCAGCCATCCACACAGGAGTCTGTTTTGAGGTGGCAATAGCACATGGGAAGATGAACTTTCCCTGTTTGTTTACCTGTTTTTCTTTGGCTGTATCTGATGACAGTATAAGATGTTCTTAATAAAGTTTTATGTTCTTTTTGAAATGTGTAGGTGGTTTTGTGAATCTGATTCATTGGATGTGGGGTGGGAAGGGGAAAGATTAATGGACTGGGAGGGAAGCAAAGTACTGGAAGTAATTCTGATGTTATGGTAGAGAGACTGCTGAAGGAGGAGATTACGTGGCTAGTAGTTCCCAAACTTGAGCGAGCATCAGAATTACCTAGAGCCAGTTTGTCCAACCTGTGGGCTGCACGTGACCCAGGACATCTTTGAGTGTGGTGCAACACAAATTTGTAAACTAAAACATAAAGAGATTTTTTTTTTAAAGCTCATTTAGCTATCATTAGTGTATTTAATGTGCAGCCCAAGACAATTCTTCTTCCAGTGTGGCCCAGGGAAGTCAAAAGATTGGACAGCCCTGACCTAGAGGATTTATAAACTACAAAGAGTTGGGCCCCACTCCCAGAGCTTCTGATTCAGTAGGTCTGGGGTAAGGCCTGATGGTTTACAGTTCAAACAACTTGATGCTGATGCCACTGGGGTTACGGACCACATTCTGACAACCACTGCTCTAAACAAATTCCAGGTAACAAGATAATAAAGTATGGTTTTTACAATTCATTATATAGCAAGTTCCTTATGGGAAAAGAACAAGACCACATATTCTTTTCTGGTCCACTGCTTAGTAGTGCTTTATTAAGTGCTTTTGAGTGAACAGATTCAACTGGTACTTTCAACCTCCTGGAGCCTATGCCCTTTCACCACTCCTTGAATTTAAAGCAAAATTGAAAATACTAGAAATCTGTGAGAATCTCCAGGGCAGTGTTTGCCATAATTTTTGATAAACTCAGTTGGAGCATTTACAAAAAGGATACATACCTAGTGAGAACATTTTCTGTGATTCTTACCATCTAAAAAGTTGGGGAGATGCAGTCCTCTGGCCGGTACCCCTGGTTCTCTATTCCTGGGTGGCATCTGGTCACTTTATCTGAATTCAGATACTTCCCATTCCCATCCACTTTTTTGCCTCTGCAGTAGTAGGTTTTATACAGTGGAACCCATACCCATAGATTCTGTTTCAGAAGATTTGGGATAGATGCAGAAATCTGCATTTTAAACAAGCTACCCAGATGATTCTAATGCAGGTAATTCATAGACTGCACTTTGAGAAACATGCCCTACAAAGCAATGTATGGTTTCTAACAGATAATAATGGTAGCTCACATATATGGTACTTACTGTGCACCAGGAACTGTTCTAAGCACCTCACTTATCCTTTGTGGTAAATACTCTGATTATTCCACTTTTATATCTGGGCAACGAAAATAATTTAAGTTCTGTGTGACTCTGCACGAGTAGATGGTGAAGATGAGATTCAAACCTGGCTCCAAGTTTGACTCCAAGCTGGTGCTCCTTAACCACTACGTGATGCTGCCTCTTACACTGATGTGTTGTTTTGCAGTTCCACTATCACCAAGTCTATATTTTGCATAACATTTCATGTGATAGTGAAATTAATGTTATCCAAGTATTCAAACTAAAAAGCAAGACGTCAGCTAAACGCACTGTTGAGTTCCAGGTCTGTTTTGGGAACTACTGTTCTAGGCATCCAACATGTTACCTCAAATAGACTTCTTCTCACATATGGCAAACCTTTAGAGGTTTTAAAAGGACTTTTTGTTCCAACAAAAGCAATTGTAATAGCAGGCCTTCCTGACAAGCCAAAAAAATGCTTTTCATCTGCCTTATTTTTAAGTTTACATGTGCGGGATGTGCAAGTTTGTTATTGTTACGTGGGTAAACACGTGCCATGGTGGTTTGGTGCACCTATCAACCCGTCACCCCGCATGTATTAGCTATTCTTCCTGATGCTCTTCCTCCTCATCTTCCTTATTTTAAACTTAAGAACCCCGTTGTCCACCTGGGCAAATTCCTCTATATTTTCTTATTTCATTTCTCTGTCTAGCACAGTTCTTATGATTCTTTTGAGGATGGGAGAGTGAAAGAGAAACAGAAATGCATTTTGGGGTCTGACCATCATCTGCCTTACCATAAAAGACTCAGTAGCCTTTGGTATGATTATACCACCACAGGTTTTTTGGATGACATAAAAAAATGGAAACTGTATTTTAATGTCTTTTCGATAAATGGATCATGGACTAAAGTAGAATTTGCAGTGAACCATAGAATTATACATAGATATATCTGAGTTCTGTGCTTCATGGAAAAAGTATAAAACTGAAATTTTGAATTAATGTAAATGATATTGTGGTCCAGAGCCATTAAGTTTATTCAGATATGTCTTTAAAAATTCAGTTGTACAGGTATTGTGTCGTTAGTTTTATCATCTTTTTTTTTTTTTTTTTTTTTAAATAGAGTTGGGGTCTTCCTATTTTGACCAGGCTGGTCCCGAACTCTGGCCTCAAGTGATCCTCCTGCCTTGGCCACCCAAAGTGCTAGGATTATAGGTGTGAGACACCACACCAAGCCAGTTTTACAATCTTTTTAAAGTCATATTTCTTTGTTCAGTGAAGGAAATTTCATGTTACTTAATGGAAAAACAAGTGAGAAATTTTAAGAAGTTTAAATCATACATTAAAACATGGCTTTTTCAAAATACTGTGTTAGTATTTATTGTCTTTTCTAGCTCTTGATATTTAAGTTATGAAATCTTGTATTTTTATAGAAAAAGTACAAGATTAGCAGAGTGCTCACAATGCTATTTGATTCTTTTAGAGGTACTTTTGTGTAATTTCATTATACTGCCATAAGGTGGGAAGTGGTGCCTGGGTTGTGGTTTTGTGATTTGAGTTGCTAGGCTGCAGCAGGAATGTGGTAAACTGCGGTAGGTTAAAGTCTGTTTGCATTCTGCGTTCCGAGCTGGTGTTTGAGTGCTGCAGGACCTCTGGTGAGCTTCATGTCCAATTCCTTGGATCCCTATATAGCTAATAGCTGTGGATGCCCAAGTACAGGCAGATGTCATCGGTGCTTAGCATTCTCCCTGTTTGAGTTTCTAGTATCTTTATGTGTTGGCTAGCATGATGAAGAAAGATTGCAACTTCTTTCTAGTTTCTGTCTCTTTGCTTTCTTGCTTTTATATCCATTGATGGAACAGAACAGTTATAGTTCTGGTAAAATTTTATACCGGTAGCATAAAGCACCATCTTTTTCCACTTGAGCATAATTTTCCCTCCAGGAAGCAATAGAAAGCTAACTGCTAGTGACGAACTTATTGATTGGTTAAAATATAATTTTAACCAGTTTTTGCAGTATGGCATAAAGCTTTGGGTTAGAAAAATCTTCTTTTTTTTTTAAGGTCATCTCTTTTGAAGAATACCACTTAGAAACAGAAAGCTTAGTTTTTTTAAATATGAGGAAAGTGTTTTCAGAATATGAATTTTTTTAAAGCTGTATATTTTTAATATTTAAATTAGTTTATAAATTCTTATAGTATTTATAAAGTGAAACAATTGCTTTTTTAGATAACCCAGGGGAATAGTTAAGCAATTTTATTTTCAGCTGTTATCTTACTTGTAGTCATATATGAAATAAAATATTCATTACATATATTTTTGGCAGTTAATAACCTTTGAATACTATAATGAGGTTAGATACAATGAACATATTTATCAAGTGTTTGTTATCTATCATTTTACAAATTCTAAATACTTTTATTACAGAAAGTTATTGCCATCATTATACATCATTTGGTTAAAATATTCTTCAGTTTCATTTTGTTTTGGAC